CCCCAGTTAATTTACAAAAGAACGACTGTTAATTAAGTTAACGAAAATGTAAATTTAACGCAGCGCATGGTTAACAATGCTGTCTTGAAAGACTTGATAATCTCTGAACAAAGTGGGGAAATTACGTTTTCCGTGTCTCGCATTAAGTCCGCCAAAATGGCTCATTGTGAGAAAATTGCGGCTTGAGCTAGTCATTTGCTGGTGGTGACTACATGAGATTGCCGTCGGTCGCTGAGGGGGTCGGGATGTCGTGGGAAATATCCTCAGTTTAACGTAATGATCCAGATAGTAGAGTAAGCTTTGGATGTAATTAATTCTGTCAGTTGTATGGCGTTAACTGTCCATAATACGACATCCATTTGGTAAATTAGTCACATAAGTTTCATTTGGGCGGTGATTGTGTTCCTTATGTAAATAATTTTTACAAGCCTGCTTACATCCCAGGGGAAAAGGAGAAAGGGGGGTCACTGGGCGATAATGTATGCAAATGTTGACAAGTGCACGAGCACACGACAGGTGGCATGTTACCATAATTTATGACATGGTTGCATTTAAGTTTCCATGTTGAATTTTCTAGGCTTCAAGAAGAAACGTATACATTAGTGATTATAAGTCTGTAAGTTTTAGTGTTAGGAAACTCGGCCTTTACCTGTCTTTTTATTAGAATGAAAAGCACACAGAAGCATCGTTCAGACTGACAGCATAAAAGGCAGCTTCGGTTATCAGAAGAAACTGTAAACATAGAGATGTGATAGACAGAGTTAGGCTAATTTCAGTAAACTATCGATATTGAAACTCTGCTGAAGATGGGGACGAAGCGCTTGTGGGAATATCCTGAATGCTGTGGTGTCGACTCATAAGTCAACAATAGATCAAGAAGGAAGCAAGCGCATAGATAATGACATCTGCGGGGCTTGGACACAAGTAATCACAAACATACGAAAAGTACAAACAATTTTTGTTGCATGTCATCAGATGACGAGAAATAGAGAAATTTGCCTTTTTGTTAAGGAAAATAAAGTGAATACTAGACAAAGTTAGTTTCCTATCCTCTACAGAACGTTGCAGAACCAACACAAGCACTGTTTGGCTGTTGTGGGTTTTCTAGGCAAATTATTTGTACGTCCTGTAGTTTGCCATTGCTTTCTAAACGGTCAGCTTTTGGTACCACTGTGGAAACCAACGCAAGACAAATCGCCCGCAGCTGGGATCGAACCCGGCACCCCGGCATTACGAAGAGCGTTCTAAACGCCCAAGCCACAGATGCCGACCGAATTTTGGACTAGGGAGGGAGACGCAAAGACAGACAGTTGTATGGAGGAAACGTAGATATTCGAATAATAAATAATAATTCTAGGCGCGTTCACTGGAACCCTGTTAGTTCAATACTCCACATAACTGTTTGCGTGAAACTTGATCATGTTATAGTCATGTGACAGTCATCATCATCATGTGATGCAACGTTTGCTCTCATCAAAGTCTGCCTAAAAGACTCACTCTCGCCAGTACCGCCGCCCATGTATGCAAAGGAGTCAATTATATATTTTTGACACTTGACAAAATGGCCAATTAACTTTCTACCAAGGCTTTCAGATTCAGACTGATTTGATATGAACAAAATTTAATCTTCCGAGAAAGGATGCTGTTTAGAGAAGGTAGGTCAGAACTTTTTTAATGCAATATTTCTTCGCTTTGTCCAAGAAAAACAACCTTTCATAGCATTCAACTCAAAAGCATTCTCTTTCTTACGGGGACATCCGTTTAGGTTAGGGAGATTGTGACTATTTGTATCTCCTTTATGCTTAACCCAGACAAAATGGCTGTTCAACATTGTAAGGCCACCAAAAGCACTGTTTGAAAAGACCTCCATTGCTGTTTATTATAGATCCTAGATAGTCAAAGTTTGAGACATTTTCAACCAAATTGCGACAGTCCTTTGATATCATTATTTCGTTTTCTTAAAATGGCGAAACATGCCACAATCTTTTGGCCAATATTAAAATATCCGAAAAAATATCTGCAAACGACGGTGCCACCAATTTCGCGTATATCTAAAATACGGACTTTCATTGCCATATGTTTCTGAGTAACAAATAGGCGGTGAGAAACTACCCTTTGGCACCTTGACAATCAAATATCACCAGCTGCTCTGATGGCTGCACGTTTGTTACTATGATAAGATTTTCAATTAATGCACTAATAAAACCCGACTTTTAATGACAACACTTTTTCGACCGTTTCTGCTGGACGATGCCTTACTATAGACAATAAAACAAGCATGAAGATCTTTGTTGTATTCTCTGCATTTTTCTTTTTTTTCAAAAATTATTCTCAATTAAGATGTGAGACAGTTCCTCTACCCTGTCTGAAAAGCTTGTGCTTCATTAGCTCCTATTGTAGTTTCTTCAATTCGTTGGATGATAATTTAAAAGAATTTTGCTAGCATGGTATTAATGCGATGGTACGGTAGTTGAGCATAGCGCCAAACTGTCGAGGAATATAGACTGTTCTTTTTTCGCCGAGGGTATGCCACTGCGCCAGATCTTCGAGCACAGTGCATGGTAGATTCGGACGCTGGCCTCTCCTCCTGCCTTGAAGTAGATGCTGGTATTTTCGTTGCAACTCGTGACTTTCCTTTCTTCAGCCATTTACCTTCTCCAGTTTAGGCCCTGGTTCTTTTTAATAACTTTCACAAGTCGTTTTCGAATTACATCCTCATACATTTCGCTACAGTATTCTTTCCACATTCGCATATGTCTTTGGTTTCCGTGAAAGCGTTACCGTTTATGTGACAAGTACTGACCAATTAATAAAAGACCACGTGAGTACCGTCCCATGATGCAAAGATTCTATTTTGAACTTGGCATGGCCATATAACTTTTTAAACGATCAATTGACTGAAATTTCGGATAATTGCTACTTTGAAGATTTTAGGTGGCCAGAAATTGGCCATATTTAGCATCTCTACGGGGAAGCTTTAGGTTATAATTGTGACTAGGTTATGTGAGCCAGACAAAATGGCTTAACATTGTAAGCCACCAAAAGCACTGAAAAGGACTCCTGAAGTGTTGATGGAGACAGAACCAAATACTGTCCCGACCGGCGACGAAATCGTTTATCGCCGAGCCAATGGGCGAATCAGTCGCTGATGTTAAGAAGAGAGAGGAAGACGAAATCTACTGCTAACTATAGGAATGCTAAATAGTGAGGTTTAAATTTTTTCTACGGTGTGACTCTCCTCCGACAGTCTTAAAAACAAGGAAAACTGTCTTTTCCTAAATAGCCTGCCGCGGGAATAGAATCCTGGTAAAAGTTAAGGATTGTATTGTGAAACGATTTCGCTAATCTCTAAGCCACAGGGCGACATTTCTACAGCCAGTAGTCTAGAAAATATGAGAATTTACTACAACTCAAGTCCTGGAAAATAAAGGCGGCTGGCGTGATGCTGACCACATCACCAACCAAGTGCCGATTGGTCTATAAAAATATAGGTCTAGCCCTATATGCCCAATACGCCTCAAAGCGTGGGAAAGGACCCTTTACCCAACTTTACTTACTACAGCTCAGCAAATTTAGGAGAGTGCTTTTTCTGACGGCTGCCATGTCGGTTCTACAGGCAAATGGTAACCCAAAAGACATGCAGTGTGTAGACTGGACGGCCCTATGATTCACTTATGGCTCTTCTGTAATACAACCTGTACTGAACTAGATTCAAGGCCAGTGAAATAACGGAAAGACTGGCCACAAGCGGCAGATTCTTACACCAAATCTTCTGCATAAGTCTCGCATCATCTCATCTCTTATGGCCAAGACTCGCTTCATCTCATCTCTAATGCTCAAGACTCGCTTCATCTTATCCCCAATGCTCAAGACTCGAATCATCTCATCCCCAATGCTCAAGACTCGCTTTATCTCATCTCCAATGCTCAATATACACTTCATCTAATCTCCAATGCTCAAGACTCGCTTCATCTCATCTCCAATGCCCAAGACTAGCATTCATCTCATCTCCAATGCTCAAGATTCGCTTCATCTCATCTCCAAAACCCAAGACTCGTTTCATCTCACCGCCAGTACCCAAAAACCCGCTTTCCCTCATCTCCAGAGATGGCCAGTGTATCATATTAAGGTTGTCAGTGTATCATATTCAAATCAACAAGGACAGGGCATAAGAGACTTTGTCAATTAATCTTCTGGTTTTTCGGCATCGGCAACACGGAGATGAGTCCCTTCAACTTAGCGGGGGACAATGCTGAGCATGTGCTCCAACACTGTAGGCTGTATGCTACTAACAGAGAGGCCATCTGGCCTACTGGAACTCAATCAAAACAAAACTGTATGCTACACAGGGAGATTTGGACTTAATCAAAGCTACATGCCTCCTCATATAGCGTTTTCTGACAGAAGGATTGAAGAGGAAGAATGCTGTATCGCATAACAAGGACGCGAGCTTTTATAGCTGTACAATGATCATGTATTCTATTATTGCTGTTATCAGACTCTGTTGAGTTAAGCTGCGTCAAGAGCCAACAGCATACTCGCCCTGTACTCATTCATATTCAGCAAGCAGCGAAGAGTTGCTCCAATTCTGATGAGTTCCAATTATTTAGCAGGTTTACGGTCTCGTAGCTGGAGTCCGATCTTCCTAACAGGTGAGGCATGGCACCAACCCGTGTTTCTAAACGTTCTAACGAGATTCCTTACATCCTGACCACCCCCCCCCCCCTTTCCCCAAACAACATTGCTTTCAGCAAGGATTCTGGCATGTATTAGCCAATGTTGGGTTAGTCAGTCAGCCAACCTACCAGCTATTTGACCAACTATCAACCAACATAGCAGCAAACCAACAAATTCATCCAAGCAATCAATCAGCAATCCGTGAGAGTATTCTTGAAGTCAAGCAATCAACATTTACGTTGGAACGGACAACATTCAGCCGGAAGTATCTTAACATAAGCATGCATATATAAGATACGCAGTGATGACAGAATCAAATATGACTACATTCTACTAATATTGCCGCTTCTTGAGTTAGTTCGCTGACATTGTAGTAGATTGAGAAAAGTCTCCCGAAATTTAGCGTTGGTGGCCACGTAAATGAGGAAGTTACAGGAGCCATTGATGCAGAACACAAGCTTGTAGATATGGTAAATGAACACCCCGATAGACCGGAAGTTTGGTTTGTCTTGGAATACAGGAAACACCATGAAAGTTGGCACCACAGCAGTGAGAAGCGTGGGGAAGCAAGCGAAGGTGTAGAAGATACACAGACACAGCAACATCTTTGTTGTCCGGCTGTTGTTCGCTTCCTTTTGACCCATGGTCATTTCCAACCGTTTCCTGGCCACCATCTTCATTTTGACACCAATAGCTATGCATCCACAACCAACGAAAATGATCATGACAAAGACGGAATTCACAAATATTTCTAGACCTTTCGAGATGTGACGTTGGGCCCAGTAGGAGTCTGTCCTCATGGCAATGCCAACAGAAATATTTCTGGAACTGTCAAAGACATAAGCAAACTTGAACCAGGTTCGAATGTAGATCTGCATAATGATCGTGCCAGCAAACAGTACAACAACAGCGATAACCGTGCGACGGACGGTCACTATTGAATGAAAACGAAGTGGCAAGAAGACGGCGATAAGTCTCTCTACCATCACAAATACGGGAATCATCAACGATGTTGGTCCGGTTGTCCAGTTTATACTGTCCGTCAACTGGTAGAGATAGTAAAGCACTCGAGCTGTGGGTTCTGGGTATGCGAACCCACCTGGACCGAATTCATACATAGGTTTCGGGGGTCCATTGATTCCTATGATAAATAAACTATCAGAGATGGCCAAACTGAAGAGCAGGACGTTGGAACTTTTCTTAAATCCATGCTTGGTGAGAACTATGGCACTAAAGGTGTTTCCGACCAGTCCAAGGAGTGAGATGGCTGGAGTCACGACAAAAACTATGATCCAGTGAACTTTGTCCGTCAACTGGTCCAAGACCAGGTCGATGATTCCTTGTTTCAGAATAGTCTTTATGTAAATATCGTTGTAGACAGCTTCCGGGGCACGCTCAGGGGAAGGACTGGAAGCGCTTCTATCCATCGTTGAACATGAACAGAAAGTTTTGATAAAGGCGAGCACAAGGGTAAATTGCTGCACAGGACACGTTATGAAACCCACATAATCAACGTTTAGTTGATCAGAATTATTGTAAAGGCAAGTTGATCAGAACTGTGTTGGTGTAAATGTAAGTTGATCTAAACCGTATTGTTGTAAATCTAAGTTAATCAGAACAGTGTTTTTGTAAATGTAAGTTGATGAGAACAGTGCTGTTGTAAATGTAAGTTTATCAGAACAGTGTTTTGTAGATGTAAGTTGATCAAAACAGTATTGTTGTAAATGTATTTGTTGTTGTTATGAATGTCAGTTGACCAGAGCAGTGTGGTTGTAACTAAACACAGGCTTGAGCTGAACAGACAGACAACAATAGACAACAATAGCCTCAGACCCTCGTATCTAAATGTATTACAATAATTATTGATTGATACTAGTTAAAATGAATAATCTGTTGCTGACAATTTTACAAAGATGAATGATTGTTACGATGACACAGAAAATACCAGCACACCAAAAAACAATGTTGGGGGGCGTTGTTTCCCTAGCTATGGTAGTTCTGTCTTACTAATGTCACGAGTTATTTAATTACAACTGTGTAGTACTGTACACAAATTATATGTTTGTAAATGACACAGTATAGCTTCAGTCTACGCAATATTTATAAATACCCCATCCCCCTTTTCACACACACACACACACAAGCACACACACACATATATATGGAGGGCGGGACGTTCTTGTTTATGCATATATAAGATGTAGTTTTTGATAAAACAAAAGGTAGACTTATATTATTTTTGAGAAAGTGCTGTTTTGTGAAGATAATAACAAGGTGTCATTTAAATTAGATATTACAGACAAAGACACACAATGCCATATCTTACAGCGGCTAGAGACAAAGAGACAGTGTTATGTCACTAATGTATCATCATATTCCTAATGTAACTATATATACATATTTCCCGCTACTTGGTATATGCATGTGTGCCGAGACGCATCATTTTTTTGTTTTAATATTTCTAGTACGCTGAAGTCTTAGTTTTAGTCTTAATCGAAGTTTCAACTTCACCGCAGTCGGGTCACCCGATTTATGCATCTTTCCTGTAAAAAATCAAATGAAATGTCCCTCACTGTCGCATTTCAAAAATAGATGTACACACTATTAGTCCTGGAACAATTAAGAAATACGCGCAGGCCGTAAATGCATATTTCAGTTGCTAGAGACGTCAAAGCCAATAGTCGCCACCGAAAGTACAGTCTGTGGTTTATGGAAGTAGTCGGGCACGATAAGTTGACTATACACACGCAATATTATTACATAAGGTATTTCACCAGCTCACTCGTAAACACGGCTACCGGCCATATTGAATACAACGACACAGCCGTTGCACAGATGGAAGGAATCCCACAGGAAACCGTATGTTAAAGTGTACAACTTCAACACTGTAAATACTTGGGGAGCATCTCTACATATGATGGCAGATTAGACAAAGAGATGAAAGAGAAACACAGCAAGCCAGCAATGGCACGTATTGGCTAATCTAACTTTTGAAACACCTGGCTATCGCATTTGATATTAAAAGACAAGTAATAAATTGAATCTTCATACTAACTACGGGGCTTCGTGAGGTGCTAAAGGTTCCGGGTTCAATCTCCGGTAAGGGCTGGGATTTTTTCCCCCACGTGGACGGACTTCTTGTAATTCCCTGTCTCTGGGTAGTGAGATCGGTGGAAATCGAAAAGAGTAGCCCAACGGCGCTGCCCAGGCAACAATTTTGAGTTAAAAATATAGCCAAAGTATATCAGAATCCTCGCTGGTGATACAGAGCCTGTGAACTGTGCTGTGCTTCTTTTCGGACTCAGACCAGAGTTAGAAGAAAAACGGAACACTTAAGGGTTACTACCCGGTTGCTATGTTTTCGATTTGTTGTTCAAACCTCAAACTTTTTCATACCAACTGTGTGCTATCAGTGTGGGACACTGACCAAAAAATTTTTAATACAGCTGACGACCTGCGAAAAAAGATGTTTGACCCCCGTGTGGGTTCCGAGAACCCACTGTGGGGAAAAAAAGAATAGACCCACTGCCTGCCCAAAAGCATGTCGTAAGAGTCGACTGATTGGGAGCTTCTTCGATGTCGGAGTGCATCTGCCTAAGAGGCAAGAAGCTAACAGTCTGCATGCAAATGACTCAGACGTGTGAAACGGATGTGCATGCAACACTCAATTTCTGGAATAGGACTTTCCGCCTGAATTTATAGCCGGTAAACGCAAATAAGAAGAAGATGTCTAAGAAAAACCGTGAACACAAGTAGGATTTATAATGAGAGAAACGGTGCAATTAAAAGAACTATTGGAACAACCTTTAATTAAACCTTTGTGCTGAGTACATACATCCATGGCTTCCCTGAGTAGCTCAACAAACTACATAATTTTTATGTACAACTGACACACATCCATGGCTTCCCTAAGTAACTCAACACACTACACAATGTTTATATACAACTGACATACACCCATGGCTTCCCTAAGTAACTCAACACACTACACAGTGTTTATGTATAACTGACATACAGCCATGACTTCCCTAAGTAGTTACACACACTACACAATGTTTATGTATAACTGACATACACCCATGGCTTCTCTAAGTAGCCTAATACACTACACAGTGTTTATGTATAACTGACATACAGCCATGACTTCCCTAAGTAGCTACACACACTACACAATGTTTATGTATAACTGACATACACCCATGGCTTCTCTAAGTAGCCTAATACACTACACAGTGTTTATGTATAACTGACATACAGCCATGACTTCCCTAAGTAGCTACACACACTACACAATGTTTATGTATAACTGACATACACCCATGGCTTCTCTAAGTAGCCTAATACACTACACAGTGTTTATGTATAACTGACATACAGCCATGACTTCTCTAAGTAGCTACACACACTACACAATGTTTATGTATAACTGACATACACCCATGGCTTCTCTAAGTAGCTACACACACTACACAGTGTTTATGTATAACAGACATACACCCATGGCTTCTCTAAGTAGCCTAATACACTACACAGTGTTTATGTTCAACTAACATACATCCATGGCTTCCCTAAGTAACTCAACACACTACACAATGTTTATGTACAACTGACAAGGCACTGTAGTGAACGCAAGACAGTGTTTTCCCTCATATTTACTACACAAACGGTGTTGACAGATTGGTCATATTGACACTTATAGTGGCGACACAGACGGAATAAGAAAAAAAAAGGTGAAAACAGATAATTTATGTGTTATGTCATCATCATCATCCACATTGTCACCATCATCATCATCATCACCATCAAGTTAATTAGTCAGAATTGAGCGGTAATGAACAGCGGACTATACAGCAAGTAATATCCGAAAGCATTTCGTAAGAAACATGGACAACACATATATCATTAATGGCGTACGGACTAGGTTAGTAGCCAAAGACGAATCTCTGAACTAACACGATTGCATGACATGTGTGGGACATATGTGTGAGACTCATAGTGTGAGACTCCTATGTGTGAGATTCCATGTGCGATACTCAAATTTGTGAGGCCTGTTGGTCTGGGACTCATATGAGTGAGGCTCATGTATGTGACGCTCATGTATATGAGGCTCATGTGTGTGAGGCTCATGTATGTGAGGCTCATGTGTGTGAGGCTCATGTGTGTGATGCTCATGTATGTGATGCTCATGTCTGTGAGGCTCATGCATGTGAGGCTTATGTGTATGAGGCCTATGTGTGTGAGGTTCATGTGTGGGAGAGACTCTAGGCTTATATATTTAAGGCACTATAGTTTAGGGCCCATATTTAAGGCACTATGTGTAGAGCTCACATTTAGGACATGCTGGTATTTGTGCGATGCTCATATCCAAGGCATACTGAACTATACTACTCGGCTTATATTTAAGGCAGGATAGGCTGTGGTGCTAGGCACATTTTAAGGCACGCTTCGCTAGGTGTCATACTCATTTTTAAGGCACGCTGAGATAAAGTGTTAGGCTCAAACTTGACGTGACACGAGGACTGGTGTGATCCTCCTTCTCCTCCCCCTTAACAACCTCATCATCTTCACGGTCGGTCCGACCTTCGCCCCGAAGATACGCCACTGCTCTCCTGTTCAAACCCAGGTCCATATATTTGGTAAACCATGTCCTCATGTCAGAAGACTGAAATATCAATCATCACATTATACGAAATGGCTTAGAAAAATAAATCTTGAAAGTTTGATAGAAATTTCAATAACCATGTCATTGTATTTTGTTAATAAAGGATGTCGAGAAGGTTAAGCTCGTATTTTCAAAATGCAGACGAACACAGTGACGTCATAAAAAGTCTGAAGATGGCCGCCCCACTTTTGACATGCAACAAAGAGGATCAGCCATTGATTATTTAAGGTTTTAATTTGAAGCCCTCTCCTTACAATGGAGCTCGTGTTATAAGTGAAAATTACGTTAAACAATTACATATGTATGAATATGTGCCTGTGGATCTATGTAAAAATGGACGGACCGAGACAGGATTTCGAAATACAGAACAGTTGCCCATCCGTGTAAATCTTAAGGTGAGCATAATATCTTGAGCTGAAAGCGGGACATTCCATTATTATTTACAGTTAAAAACTTTACGTCCCATTAATATTTTAGGTTGAAAATGGGACATCCCATTAATAATTTGAGTTGAAAACAAGACATCCCATTAATATTTTGAGTTGGAAACTTGACATACCATAAATTTTTGAAGTTGAAAATTTGACATCCCATTAATATTTTAAGTTGAAAACAAGATTATAATTTTTAGTTGGAAACGGGACATCTGAAGCCACTTGTAGTTTAACCACACCTTTTTCTTCTAGGTGAGCGGCATGAAAGAGTTCATTACACGCTAGACAATGGTATTAGAACTTGAACCATTTTTCGCCAAGAAATAAACGTATCCATATGCTTTAAAATTTCTTTGGGTGAAGGGGGAAAAAAAAAAGGGGGGGGGGGGGCGCATGAAACAATGAAAATTCTCATTAACACATTTAGGCATTAAAAGCAATTAAAACTATGAAATGCAAAAAAGATTTACATATTTACTTATTTAGAACACAAAACTAATAAAAATGTCAGAGACAAAATATACAAATTTGCAGGACATCAGGAGCCTCTCTTGGCAGTGGTGAAACGTCGCAAGCACACGGTGAGACATAATTCGATTGCAAAGACTTTACTTCAAGAAACATTGGGGGGAGGGGGAGGAGTTAGTCGAAGAAGAGGAGGGCAAGAAAAAAAACAACAACCTGGAATGACAACATAAAGAAATGGACAGGACTAAGTTATCATACACTTGTTCATCAAGAGGAAAACAGAAAGATGGCCGGTTTTATGTGCTAGTGCTTCTATCAATACATCTCCACGACCCTAATGGGTCAAGGGTTATGTTATACTATTATGTAAGTTTCATTATGTAGTTAACTCCTAGATACAGTTAGAGCACACTCTAACAAATAAAAAAATACAAACCGGACTATGCTGGTAAAAACGGGACATTTTGTCACACTAGTAAGTCTCCAAAATGTCTGCTGCACGCGTGTATACTGCAGAACATCGCACATGTTTGGGGTTTTATTTCTGTTTTACTTAAAAGTTAAATATTTGTGTTCAGTCTGAGGGTATATTTTCACACAACTGAACAGTACCCAGGCGGCAGCATGATGGCCTAGCCTGGCGTCACATCAACGACATATTAAACTTCGAAACGTGTCTCTAAACTTCTTATTAATGGCTACATAGAGGTAAAAGTTGCAGGAGGCGTTAACACAGAACACCATTTTGTAGACATGAAAGATGAACACTCCGATAGAACGATGGCGTGGTTCGTCTTCAAACACAGGAAACACCATAAACCCGGGGATAACGGCTGGAAATCCGACGGGAAAGCAGGCGAATGAGTAGACGATACACAGGCAGAGCAACATTTTAGTTGTTCTAGAAGATTCCGCTTCTGTCTTGCCAGCTTTCTGCCACATAAAATTATTGGTCATTTGCTGCCGTTTCTTAGCAACCATTTTCATCTTGACCCCGATCGCCACACATCCAGCTCCTACGAAAAGGACAAAAACAAACATGGCGTTGTCGCAGATTTTGAAGATCTCCGACACTTGACGTTGTGCCCAGTAGGCATCAGTCCGACCGACAATCCCGACTGAGACGTTCCTAGCGCTGTCAAAGACGTAGGAGAACTTGAACCAGGTGCGGATGTAGATGTGGGCAATAGTTGACAACACTAGGGGAGCTAGAATAGCCACAACTGTCCGCCGCACGGTGACTAACGAGTGGAAACGTAATGGAAAGAAGACGGCGATGAGTCTTTCAGCCATGATGAGGATAGGGATGCTGAAGGAGGTGGGACAGAAGATCCAGTTTAAACTGTCTGTGATCTGATAAACGTAATAGAGGATTCGGGCCGTCTCCTCCGGGTAGTCGAAGCCTTCCCCTCCCCACTCGTACATGGGTTTGGAGGGCCCATTAATGCCGATCATAAACATGATATCGGAAATTGCCAAACTGAAGAGAAGGATGTTGGAGCTTTTCTTAAAGCCGTGTTTGGACAAGACAATAATGCTGAAGGAATTGCCAATAACACCAATAATAGATATTGTCGGGGTTAACACAAAAACCACAGTCCAATGAACAAGATCTGCGACGGGGTCAGCGTCGACGTAATTGTTGCCCCGTCTCTGGGTAGTCTGAGAATCGCGGATAGGGAAACCCCAGTTGCTGATGTTGACCGCTGGTCCAGTGTCTGTTAATGCGACTAGTTTGACAGCCATTGAGTTGTTGACAACGTCAGGGGAGACAAGTGGGAAACATTTTACAGTCTGATTAGCGCAGGAGTTGTCTGCCGTGTATCTTCTTTTTTGCTGCAAAAGATTGTCTTTTTTCATTGTTGAATTTCGTGTTTTCTTTTGTCACCCTTCACTGACAACTGTCTGCAACGTGACTCGACGACGTGTCCCATCTCTGACGTTTTTCCTGCGTAACAAAAGGAGATGAATTTTTGTGACTTATTAATTTCGTAAAATAACGGGGAAACTGACACTTGCAAACATCAGGTTCTATGTGTGAAAGAGGACATACGTAACAAATTTACAGACAGGTCCAAGAGGGTAAAATAGCTATGTCTTACCTTTGTGGGACGCAATTTTTTGTGTTTTTTAAAGCCCCACCCTGGCTTTTGCCTGCGGTCCTGATTTTAGCTGGGACACAATTGTGGCCATAATGGCTGAAAGGTGTTTCTGGGACCTCTCCACGGGTGAACCACATGGTGGCACTTTGTGTCACCAGGTGTTTATGGCCTTGTGATGTCCTGGTTAGGTGCAAAAAGCAGGCAAGAGGGTAAAGATCAGTGTGTGTGTGTGTATGTGTGTTTGTGTGTGTGTGTGTGTGCTCTCTCTCTTGAAGATGTCTGTAATTTCTAATTATTTCGTTATGAATCATAGTTGTTTACTGTACACGTTCAGAGCATTCAGCAAACATGCTGGTGTGGTCATCAAGTGGCAAACATGGCATTTGTTGTTGTCTTGTCTCCCAGAGATCTCCACCATTACCGGTCCTAAGCCCTGATTAGAAAGAAGGAGGGTTTCAACACATTGTAAACGTCTGCAGAAACTTGCAGGAAAGAATGCAGCTCCGAAAGCCAAAGGTGATGGACTGGATTCTGTCCATGATATCGTCGGGATTACATAAGATACAATGGAATGAGGGAATGGACTGCGAGCCTTGTGTGATATAAAACCACAAGAGGACTATGAATGACTGAATGAGTGGTCCTCACAAATCCTGACTGCCATTGTTCTCATCTCTGTGACTTTCAGACTCATGTTTCTTAAAGACATTCAATTGTGAGCATATTCCTGTGCATAACCCAGCGGAGTTGAGAATCAAGAACTGACATCGCAGATTCAGGTTATTCTTATAAGCGGTAACTTCCTATCATAAGCAGCCAGCGAAAGTTCCAGCTCTGGTGGTACCAGTAGTAATAAGATTGTATGTCCGTCGTGCCTTTCCTCTGAGTGTGGAGCGTATGATTGTATGGCCGTCGTGCCTTTCCTCTGAGTGTGGAGCGTATGATTGTATGGCCGTCGTGCCTTTCCTCTGAGTGTGGAGCGTATGATTGTATGGCCGTCGTGCCTTTCCTCTGAGTGTGGAGCGTATGATTGTATGTTCGTCGTGCCTTTCCTTTGAGTGTGGAGCGTATGATTGTATGTCCGTCGTGCCTTTCCTCTGAGTGTGGAGCGTATGATTGTATGTCCGTCGTGCCTTTCCTCTGAGTGTGGAGTGTATGATTTATGTCCGTCGTGCCTTTACTCGGAGTGTGAAGCGTATGATTGTATATCCGTCGTGCCTTTCCTTGGAGTGTGGAGCGTATGATTGTATGTTCGTCGTGCCTTTCCTCGGAGTGTGGAGCGTATGATTGTATGTTCGTCGTGCCTTTCCTCTGAGTGTGGAGCGTATGATTTATGTCCGTCGTGCCTTTCCTCGGAGTGTGAAGCGTATGATTGTATTTCCGTCGTGCCTTTCCTCTGAGTGTGGAGCGTATGATTGTATGTCCGTCGTGCCTTTCCTCTGAGTGTGGAGCGTATGATTGTATGTCCGTCGTGCCTTTCCTCTGAGTGTGGAGCGTATGATTGTATGTCCGTCGTGCCTTTCCTCTGAGTATGGAGCGTCGCCCAGATCCCCTTATCACTTCCTGTTGCAACATTATCTTCATATTATGATAATCCGATTTTTGCCTCCGCAGTCTTCAATCGCTCCCAGAAGGCCTCCACAACCCTAGCCTTATCATGCATCAGTCCACTATTGTGCAGTGCAGAACCAGCCAGAAAATATACAAAGGATGCTAGCTACCTGGGACCTTTAAAACGATGCTTGCCATTCTTTAAGAATCATACTTAACTCTATCTTTGCCAGCCTGCTTTGTGAGAGCTGTACACGATTGCATTTATAAAGATGAAGGAGTTAGGAGTTTTGGCCATTGCTCATTTTAGAGCCGACGTGGTGTAGTGACCAGACGCTCGCCTGTGGACCTGAAGTTAGTGGGTTCAGATCCGGACAGAGCTGGAATTTTCCCCCCAGGTCGATCCAGCCATAAATGGGTCCCAGGTAAAGTTCTGCGAAATCTTCTCCTTCTTCTGCGTTGATCCGAAAATGTAAATCGCGTTCTGCCTGTTTACAGCATGGCTGCGATAGCTGCTCTTTTGGCCAACACCTGGGAAATCTTCAGACATTTGTTGACCGAGTTAGCCTCTCCGGTATCCTAGGAAGTAAAGGCGGCTGACATGATGCTGACCACATCACTTGCCAAATGTTAATTGGTCTATAAAATATAGGTCTGGGCCTCTATGCATGCAAAAGGGCCCTATACTTACGCTGATCACTAGTACGTTGACACACACTTTGTACAGAAGTAAAAAAAAAAAAAAAAGACAGGAACCCTTTTCCACGGCCTTAAGGCGTATAGGGCATCTAGGGCTAGACCTATATTTTATAGTGCAATCGGCACAAGATGGATGATGTGGTCAGCATCACGTCGGCTGCCTTTACTTCCCAGGACTGCACCCGGTACCCACTCAAGGCTGTGTCGACTTGGTAGTCATGGTCATTTAAACAAATCAAAAAAAAAAAAAAAATTTGGCTCTGCCAGGGAGCGAACCAACGACCTTTCGATTCGCACGTGAGCGTCTAGCCGCTTCGCCATGGCGAATGCCTTTGTATATAAGATCTGACCACAAATGTAACCCTAATACAAATCTTCTGTTATCAGACTTGAACACTGACTAAAGATCACGAAAGAATTTGGCCACCTGCGGAAGGAGAGGTTTCAGAAAGGTCGTAAACAAGACTAAACAAGTTCACGTGAGCAGTGAAAACATTTCAAGAAGTATTGAGACAACACCTTCAACTAAATTCATTTAAAAAAACTGAAATGGTTTGGACCTTTAATGAGAGTCAATCCAATAATGGCGGCGTCCGTGGCTTAGGTGTTGCGAGTCCGACTCGTAATTCCAACGTACCGCGATCGTATCCCAATGCTGGCTGCATGATTTTTATCGTGGTATCGGACGTCGCAGGTCAACCCAGCCTAAAATGGCCACCAGGATTAATGTCATGGGAAAGTAAAGTGCCGAATGGTCTGTAAAAATATGGGTGCTCTTCCCATATCTCCATGCGCCTAAAGCTGTGAAAAAAATACAATGATGCCAACAACGAGAGCCCACAACGTGAAAGTAGAAACACCAAGAGGTGAGGAATAACAAAGAAAAAGATTGATTTGGAGAGTCACTGGTACCCTGAGACTCTACAACATGCTAGGTAGCCGAGCGGACCCTAGCTCGGATACGGATCGTTTGTTAGCTTACGACGCCTAAGGTATTATAAAGAGCAGAAAATGGGCCAAGACCTGATGTCGCATATTCACTGATGAATAATTACAATGTAAGTGAACAGATGGCGGGTTTTATAATAATAATAGCAACAATAATAATATAAGTGGCTGGTCTATCGATCAGACTGATGTATCACGCGGTACACTTAGGCTCGTATCCTACCCAATGTCATGAAAAGTGTTTGCTTTCTAAGGCACACACACACACACACACACACACACACACACACACACACCTGACATGCACAACTGGGAGTGACTGTACTACAATGCAACCCTAAATTCTTACACTGACGACCTTACTATCTACATTATCATCATCATCATGCAGTAGGTCCTTTACAGAACGTCGCTCCCATCACATCCCCGTCTGAAGCACAGCCAGCTCTCGCCATATCTCCCCTTCCCCCCTCGTGCACTTTTCAACGTAAGAAGTCACTTATACCCTGTACCCATCTTCGTGCTGGCCCACCCCTGCCCATGCCCACCGCTACTTATTTTTCAAATTCAACCGTGGGGCTTTATATGACCAAAATATTTCAATTTCCGAGAAGGGATGCATGGACACATATCAGTCGATAGGCAAACGGAACTAACACGATTGGGTGATTGAGGGGTTAAACTCGGTAAAGCACGTCTAAGCCGTCTTCAAGGTAAAGACAGAACATACTATAACCAGCTCCCCAATGAATCAGCCAGTAGAGGTACCTTGGAGTGGCTGCTGCATCGGAGGACTAGGCACCCATTGGAATGCCCAATGTGCTTAGGACGTAGTGATATAATAAAATGGCTCTATATTATTTCCTTAACTGAGAATGAGAACTCATGAAATGACTCTGGCTGAATTTACAGTAGATGATTGTAGATAAAGATGGAGGAACTGATAGAGATAATAAAATAAGAATACAAAAGGCAAGAGGAGATTCCATAGCACTAGGGAATTTGTTGAGGTCAAGAAAAATTAAAAGAAATAATAAACCTAAAATTATTTGTGATTCTAATGTCAAATCAGTACTGTTGTATGGGGCGGAAACATGTAGAACAACTAAGGCAATTACTAATAAACTACAGACATTAACTGGTGCCTGTGCAGAAAAAATGGAATTTAATGGTACGATAGAATAACTAATGTAGAGATTTGGAGATAACTTAGGAAGCTCCAGTGGACCGAGAGGTGAAGAAAAGACGCCGGCGTTGGAAAGGACACACATTGTGAAAACTGGATAACAATATAACTATAATGTCTTTGTATTGGAACCCACACGGGCATACGAATAAAGGAAGAAACCCCCTCCCACCTCCCCCCCACCCCCAAATGGAGAAGGGGGCTGGAGAATGAAGTTAGATGGAGAGGACATGGCGAGAGCTGCATGTTATAGCAACTGA